GGATGAACACAGCAGGCCAAGCAGCATCATAGGAGCAGAGAGGCTGACGTTTCGGGCCTAGACCCAGCGTTCTGCTCCTATGATGCTGCTTGGCCTGCTGTGTTCATCCAGCCCTGCACCTTGTTGTCTCGGATTCTCCAGCATCTGCAGTTCCTACTATCTCTGAAAAAGAGAGGTTTTCTTTTTCCCAACAATCAACAATGGCTTCATGATTATAACTAAACCCTTCATTCCAGAATGTTTTTTGCGTGCATTGAAAGTCGCGTAGTAGAGCAAAGCACCTCAAGAAAAGAAATGAGACACAAAATGTGAAAAAAATGAAACGAAGACAAATACTCACGCAGTTTAAATAAGTACACTGACACACACACAGACAGACGCACATACACGTGCACTCTACATATGCACACACACAAGTGTATACACAAAAACACAGACACGCACTTACATTCATGCATCTTCCATCCTTTCGTCCTCTGGACAACTGATCCCCTCCAGTTATGTTGTCATTTTGATTTGTAAGTATAGTATATATATGAAGTTGACGTAATTTAAATTAGCGAATAAGGGGATGAAGTAAGCCACGTCTTCTGACCCAAGCAGTATGGAGATGATGTAGTAGAGAGATTTTTGGAATTGGCCATGATAGATTTCTGAGAATGCATAACTTCATAAAAGATAGTCACTCACAAATAAGGAAGGAATAAATATGTTCAAGCAACGAGAGGAAAAATAGACACTATAATCAAACGGAAATAAATACACTTATAAACACCCATTCACGCACATGGATTTATAAATGCACTTAAACACTAACAGTCATAATGCCAGAGATAAATGTACAGCCAAGGATTATTGAGGTACAGTGGTATAGTGTCCCTACCTATGAAGAATACGGTCTGGGTTGAAGTCTCACTTGTCCCGGGCACGTGTCTGAACAGGTTAATTGTAAAAATCAGGGCTCATGTGATGCAGTGTCAGAGAGGTTCTGTACCTTTTGAAACAAAAGGCCAGGGTTCAAGTCCTACCTACTTCAGAGGTGTGTCAAAAGAGTTTTTCTTCAATATCGATGCACCTGCCTTTACCCAGTCACTGACATCCATATTGAAATGTCAAGAGTATCATGCAATTTAAATGCATCTTTAAATGTTCTTTTTTTCCGGAAACTCGACTGAATAAATAAATCTTGATACAATATATTTATCAGTCCCTCTATTGGTAGTAGAAACAAACAAAAACAATATCTTCTACAGAAACTGATTGAAATCAATGATGGCCAAAGCGCGTGTATCACAAATAAAATATTAAAATGTGAGGTTAGAATACAATATAGCAAAGCCTTTAGTCACCGAATAAGTTAAAATGTTAGTTAAAAAGACGTCGTCTGACATGACTGAATTCTCAATTGCCCAATAATCAAAATAATTTAACACCTGGCCTGAAGACAAATATATTCTATATTCTGAGTCAGGCACAATGACTTTAGAGAAAATAAAATAAAGACACATTGATAAGTGATTAATATAACATGTGAGATACATTGAAAACTAAATTCGAGAACTAATGTATAATAGGAAGAGGAGAAAGGAACAATATCAACACCAATAATTTTACTAACGATAACAATGATATCACATCTGGATTTTTAAATAATCTGAGTATATGTTTTTCCTCTACATCTTGTAGATAACTCGGACCACATCCAGTGTGATGACTTTGAGGAAAAGTGCGACAATATCTGGACAACCACTTCCGCCTTTATTATCTTGTTCTTACTGAGTATATCCTACAGCGCAGGTGTCACTCTGCTGAAGGTGAGAAGATCCATTTGTATTCAATATGCCTGAAACCATTTGAAAAAAAATCTTGATTTGTTTACGAAAAGCATGAAGTCAATTCCTCACGGCTCAAATCTCTGTTTCAACATTTTATCTCCCTTTTACAGGTCAAGTGAGCATTTGATTGGCTGACATCATAGATTTTCCGCACCTGTTTGTTAAGATTTTTATCTATGAATCTTAATTTTGTCCTGTGAGTAATTGTCAAAGTAAACTTCCATAATTAATGCAAGAAGCCTATACTGCTATTCTGCCATAGTATTTGAAATTTGTGAAAGAACTACAATTGAAATGTAATATATATTGTGATTGATGTTTGCATGTTTCTGGTATATATGACTGAAGTTCAGTTGCTTGGTAGTACAGAACCTCAGCATTACTGAAGAAAAACACGTTGTTGAGTCTTCCACACAGTAGAAATTGGTGTTCCCTTTGTAATTTAGTATTCTTGTGACTTTGTTCTGATGAAAAGCTTGTTTTAAAACTAACAATGCATTTTAATCCAGCCAGCAATAATACATCCATAAATGAATAATATATATTTTTAAAAAAATCTCCAGGAGAGAATTGCAAAAACAGCCTATTTCAAAGGGAACACCAATTTCTACTGCATGGAAAGAGGGTTGGCAGTTGGATTCTAATTGATAGACGCACTGCCATGAGGAATGCAG